ATCTTCAAGATTTTTAACTTTTTTTTTGTAATTAAGGTAACGAAAAATATTAAAAGGCAAAAGAACTGTTAAAAAAGATAAAGTCTTTTATAAAATAAAAACTCTTTCGAGTTACTAACGTATGAGAACAAATAGTACGTAATTATCGAAAGCAATTTAAGAACAGTTGTATGTAACAAAACACGCTTTGTTTTCTAGACAGTTCCCACAGGGAAACTAATTGGCTGTCTGAGGAACGAAATATTGTGTTCTCTGACCATTTTTGCATCACTTTATATGCGGTTAAAATTACAACGTGAAAGGGATCTTTCTACAACCTATGGACATCCCAAGTCAAGTTGTCGATGGTGATGTTTTAATTTTATGTTTCAGTACTAAGTAGATGACTTTTATTTTCTTTGTTATATTTAAGTTTAAACTCTTTGTTAAACTCTTTTGTAATTGAAATAATCCATTATTATAAATATTTACAAATGACTTTAAATCACTATACATAGTAACCCCTTCGTGTTCAATTCTCTCTCTGCCTATGATTACAATGCGAATATTAGGTACAGTCCAATGAAGATCCAGGCCATGATGTGCCTATATATTTTGTCTATTTGCAATTTAATTAAAATATTTGTATTATAAATTGCTTATTTTTATTGCAAGTTAAACATAATTTGCTAAATGATTATAAATTAATAATTATATCCTGAATAAACACTAATCCAGTGTTTGTTAAGGATATAATTTTCGATTTATAATCGTTCAGTTATTGGGTATCATTATGTAACAAACTAATAAAATAACACTCCTACTATTACTAACCGAATGTTATTACTACTAAAGGATTCTGCAGGCAAGTGTTTTTATTAGGCAATTGTTTATTATGCTTACGTTACGGAAAATATACGACCTATAATCATACACTCAAGTTGACGAAAAAAATTAATATCAGAGGCTTGGATCTTGGTGAAATTTATAAACTTCCGGAACGGTTTAAGTTTGTTGTAATAAATTGAAGTCTTTGAGTCTTTTCAGTCAAAACCCATGGAATTTAATCATTGGGAATACTGTTACAGAATTCTCTTTGTGTGTTGTAAGATTGACGTTCGAAATAAAAAATGAAAATATTTCGGACATCTGACACAACACAATCTAATTTCAAACTAAGCAGATATATTACTCATATACTATTTTTATAAATACATACACATTATGCGTAGAAAACGCCCAAACACCAAAATAAATATTTACAGATCATACAAACATTTGGTCCTACCCGGGAATCGAACCGTAGACCTCAGCACAGCTCATAGCTAATCAACCAACTTTATTTTACCGATTTATTTTTCATCAATAACATCACTAGTGCTACCTATATTGGTTAGGTATGAACATCACACAGGCATAACTCATGTCACACCGACCATTATAATAACTCAAAATGGCGGTTAAGTATCAAAGAGAAAGCTATCCAGCTCTCATATCATTCTCTATGGTCTAGTATATGGCTTGTAAAGGTACGCACAGATTAAAAACAATAAAGTAAATGAATCTTTACTGTGAATTCTTAAGGATTATTTTTGTTCGGTAGTCATTTAATAGGGTCCAAATCTCTAATTGTCCTTTAACTCTCTATGCCATAAAAAGGATTCTAAATGTTCTCAATTAGAGGTCTATTGGAGGCTAACATTTAAAACTTAATTTTTAAAATGTGAAACTCGTTTTTAATAGGATGTAATACGCTTCTTACGATGTAATGTTTTGTTCTTCGTTCGTTTTGATTTGAATAAATAATAAATATTAACAAATAACTTACATTTTACAAGTAGTTTCTTAAAAAAACAAATTATGTTTACTGTATATATTCATCACATTTTATTCAATAATTCCATTTACATTTAATTCTTTTAATAGTAATTACAACATTTATAATGATTAGTGCCATAATAGTAACACGCCAAATTCACATAATAATCAAACAAAAGCATGAAGAAAATGTTTACATATCGCAATCAGTTAATAATTTAGCATTTTTTTTGTATAACCTTGAACAATTATTATACATAATTATATTAAATATAGTTTAAATTCAATTCACTTTTCATAAATGGCAAAAGTGAAGTATTTTTTAATTAGAATAGCAAAGAACATTTTGACGCTATAATATCGTGTCATAGACAACAATATAATAATATTTATTTATTTTGTTGTATCCGAAAACATTTCATGTTTCTTTAATTGTTGTCTGTAACGCAACCAAAGACAAACATCACAACCCGATATGGGGCAAATAGATTTTATAATATTAGACTTTGTAAAGGTACATTTTACCGGGAATTCTATTAGAAATCCTAGAAGATAATCTATGAAATAGAATATAATTCACTACTGTGTGTATAATAGAATTTGTCTTATAACTTCCCTCTTAAGTCTTGTAGTTAAGTAATTATTAGTAACTACAATGAAAAGACAAGCGATTAGCACAACATCGAATCATCAAATAATATGTAATTCTATAATTCAAATTCTCTTTTCAATTATCACACTCGTTTTTTTATAAAAGAACTAATATTGTCAGTGGCACCTTGTATTGTAACTGCTTACAATTTTACATTGTACCTAGGGATACATATACAACCTAATAAATTACATAAGTTTTATAAATAACGTAACTATTTTAGTGCAAACTATTCTGTTTCTAAATACAGCTCGAATATCGTTCAATTTCGTATGATTTCAATTAAATCTGTAAGCAATTACAGGTTTAACACATTTTCTAGTACATATTTAATGTCGATGGTATGACAAAATGCATTAATGATTGTTGCCATTTACATATTGTTTCATTGCAACCATGTATACCTACATAATTCTTTTCTTAATTTGTTGGCAAACAAGAAGACGGATCACCTAGTAGGAAGTGACTACCATCGCCCATGGACACCAGGTACCTCAAGAGTCACAAAAGCGTTACGACCTTCGAGGTGGAAGTACGCTATATTCTTGAAGGTTTAAAACGAGGTAGCATCTCATTTACTAACATTTTAAATTGTTTTTCTGGCGTTGTTATACAGACTGATTAAATTAACATCAATATCATAATCGCTGCCTTCATTTCTTTTTGTAAATCATTATTTAATTGACTTAAAGCAGCTAATATTTGTGATAATGCAAATAATTGACTTATAAGACGCTATAAATTTTATTGGCATTCGAAAAATAATTATAACTAACTAACTAATAGGCCTAGTCTCATAAGATCTGTTAAAATATAAACTAAGCAAAACGAATTTCCATATATTTTTAGTTCAATTAAAATGTATTTAATGCCATTTCTTTTAAATGTGATTAAGTTATTAAACAGTGAAAAGATAACATAAAATGTTTGATTAGATATAGAGCAATAAGAACTATTTTACACTATCAGAAAGATTCCACTACATTTGGAAGATTTCATTTACAAATCCATGAGCATTCACTATTATAGTTATAAATATAGTAATAAATACATTTTTTTTGTATTAAAAATTTAGATTTTAATAGAATCGGGATTCTATGTAGTATCTACAAGGCACGCAAAATAATTTGTCATACAGCCAAACCTTTCAATTTCTACATTGATAGAATAATACAGATAAAAGCATTTCTTTTATTTTTTTTCTAAATCTTGTGTACACATAGAATTATACATTGAAACTTATAAATTCACTTTACATTATAATAATAATTTTATTTCACAGCGTTAAGCACGATAACTGTTGGTTTGCTCAGATACCAAAGATATATTTGACTAACGATTGTAGGCATACATTTCAATTGTCTAAATTACATTTATATTTTGAATAATTCTATTACCCAATGAAACTGAAATTAATGTTTAGGATTTCGTTTCTTTTCTTTTAGAGCCTATAGAATTATAATTTGTAATAATAAGGATATATAATATAGTACATTATTAGTTTATTAAATCAGCTTCACATATGAAGTGGAACCCAACGGATGCGACGAGTGAAGAAATTACATGTATTTTCCTGAAAATAAAAATAAATATTAGTTTATTTAATATGAGTACTATGAATAATAACGATTTTCGTTATTTGAAATACCTCAACGACATACATATAACATAAATAATATTTTCAGAACACCTACCTAAATGCTTTCACATGACACCTCCGTATTTTTGAAATCGATCACAACAATGAAATTATTGAAAATAACAAAATCCTGAAAAATCTAATACTTGATGTGAGGTGTCAGTTTGTAAGTAATTGTGGTGATTGGTTAGCGAAACCCATGCTAATTGGTGGAAAATTAAACGTGTACAAAGTGTAAAAATATAAACATTACATGTGTGAAATGGGGTTACAAAATCTACAAAGCCTATCTACTGCCACGTCCACTCAATACTGAAGTATGTGGTATTAACATGACATGATTACAGTGGGGTGAAAAGGCCATTGATTTTCGTAAGTGAGTCTGGTCTATGTTTGTGAATGAGTAAGATATTGCTTGATAAGTGTCAAAAAAGTAGGAGTAATGTACTTCACTGCACTGATAACAAATAATTGAATATTTAGCAGCCGCAGCCGTTAAAAAAATATATATTTAAGATGTAAATGAGTATTATCTAAGATTATTGATATTTATAGATAGACTGTAAAAGCTTAAAAGCGTCGAAAAAATGTATGTATGTAGTAAACGTAAACTTATAAGAAATTGACGAAAACGATTTTATAAGAAATTGTAGTATTTGACGATATTAATATGTTTAAAACTTTTGCACTTTCCTGTCACACGAGACGTCAACGTCGTCTAAGTGGATTCACGTGGAAGGTTCACATTAAGGGATCTACAATTAGACGACATACGACAAAACGTAGTAAATCAACACTGTACTTACTAGAACAATTTATATAAAATACACTATTTAATCTATATGCAATCGACACAAGCACTAAAGCAAGCACACAAGGAATAAAGAAGTGAATACGAAGATAGAAGTACAATTACTTACAAAGTTTAGCATTTGCTGGTGTAGTGTTTTCCATGACAATTGCCGGAGTTGTTGGAGGGCCGTTCATAGTCGGCGTGCCTCGGTACCGAACTAACCAAACATTTGTTTAATGTTATCACCTGCAAACAGCCGTAAGCAGAACATGTGCTTCGAAGCGACTACTCGCTACGCAATCCGATGTTCAACTTGGCTGACTTTGCAACATCCGGGAGAAATTAAAGCTAATTGAACTGATCATTTTAGCACTATATGTTTTCAGTAAAAGGCACGTTGTAACTTATTATTTTTTAATTGTTTTTAAGTGATTGTATTAACAATTTTGAATCATACATAAAAAAACCGACTACGTGAAAATTTATAGATATTTAAAATTTAATGATTTTTCACTCTCACAATTAAGTCGAATATAATTACACCTCCCAAGCCAAAACCCATCAAGCCATTTAGACTACAGAGCGTGACAAAAAATATACATACATACACGTACACGCCAAAAACATAACCCTCTTTTACGCGCAATCGGGTAGTAAAAAGGATGCATATGAAAAATGTTCAGTTCAACTAATTTCAATCAGCGGAACTTTGTGCAAACCAAACACATGTGAACACTCAGATTAAAGACAGCCAACATTTCAAAAGATCTGCTAACAAGGAAGCTAGACAGAATTTGGAGTACTAACAACAAGCCACGCTACACTTCATATTAGACCCACCGATTCTAAAACATTCTTAACACCTAAACATAAAACATTTATATAGTAGGGGAAGGGTATTTGCAAACTAAACAGCCAATAACAAATTATGCGTAGGAATATCCATACGTAGGAAGAGGCGGAAGACGAAACTTGATTTTCACTCGAGAAATTAAAATGTCATTCGTCCTAACGTAATGCAAATTATTTAAGATCTTTTGTTATTTTATCAATATGTAATAACTAAATATATAGTTCATGATAACGTGAAAAGGACAACGGCTTATGACCTTAAACATCTTTTAAACTGAAATATTCTTTTTAGTTTTCTAAAGAACACTTTTCAGGATCAAATATATACTAATCATAAGTCATTTTATTTGAAATAAAATCAGGAATCTATCAAATCAAGTGTCATCTCTCTTGATCTGTGTTATCTTCTCATACATACGACATTCTATTGACTGCTAAGCTTCACTCGACAACATTGATTGTGTACTCATATTTGTTAATAGTTATAACTTACCAAACAGTAGGCCTATTATTACGATGCCAATTACTCCCATAATTATCATCATCTGTAATGTGAAATATATCTATTTAATCACCAGAATCTATAAATAATAGATTTAATATTTGTATTTTTGCATTATTTCTTTACCTATTAACTTTATTTCGCATAGTTTGAGAAAATCCTTGTTATTTTAACTAGTGATGAATAAATATATTTATCCAGGGATATTCAAAAGAGAAAAAGTGTGTTTGAGTCATTACAAAAAATAGATTATATTAGATTGTATGTATATATTATTATATTTTATTATGTTTATGAAATACTATATTTACTTATTTATTTTAATTCTGCATTCACAAATTACAACTTAATTACACAATAGCAGACTCATAGCCACAGACAAATTTGTTTTACCAAAAATTGTGTAGTGAGGAACAGGTCAAAAGATTTTACTATTTGCTTTTTAAATCTCAAATCTTCGTGATAATGTATTTTAAAATATTTACCTATTTAAAAATACGAGCTCTTTGAAAAATGACAAAAATTTGACCTTTAAGTCAATTTTTATTTCAAGGTGATACGTATCTGACTGAGATTAAAACTTGATGTCTAACTTCAAGTTTCTAGGCTAATAATCTGCATTCGCATCTGTACCCGCGGACGTATGTTTTTAACGATCTATCACATTATCTATTATAACTAATATTATTATACAAATAATAATATAACTGCAGTTACCTTAAGATTTTGTAACCAGAACTTGTTTTTCAAACTCTTTGCCTGTTGCTCAAACTGTGACGCACCTTGTTGAAGTGCATCTACAAATAACAAAATTTCATAGAACGCCAAGTATTTAGGTGTACGCATTATTTTCACATTATTCCGCTTGTCATATAGGTACCTGCTCTGTCGTCAAGTTCTGATAATTTCACATCTCGGTCCAATACTTTATCCATATTTGTTTTCATTATATCAACCACCTAAAACCATGAAGCAACATATTATAATTTAGTTAAACTATAAAAATACGTTTTAGTTGCGAATCAAATTAAAGAGTAAAGAGTACCGCTATCCACCTAAAGACTTCATCATCAGATTAGCTCTAAATGCTAAATTATGGTATTGACGATCGAACTATATTTAAATTGTGTGTCAGATGTCCTAAAAATATATATTTATACAAAGTTTTATATTACACTTAGAAATAGGGTAAAAATTGACCATCAAGAATTATTTACATAGTTCATATTACAAAAAAAAACAGGTTACTTTTAGTATCATATTGTTAAAGCAATTTATTTTTCATTTAGAAGATTATTAAAATATAGCTAACTCACTTTTATAATAAAAATCAAACTAAATACATAGGCGAGGATTCAGTATTCCATAAAAATTGGTTAGACGGGTGCAATTGTTTGTTTAGTTCCTTTTTCTTTTCAAGAAGCAGAACCCTAAATATAAAACTTCTTGCTTTCCTAGAAGCTAATTATTACTCAAATGACTTGTATACTGTATTTATAAATAAGTTTTCACTTTACCTCATCAACCTGCGCCTGGCTCTGTTGCAATCGTCTTTGTGCCGCGATCTGCTGCGGTGTGCGCGGTCCTCCAATGATCTCTCCATCAGGTCCAACCTCAGGCTCAGCGACCGTTAATCCTCCAGCTTTACCTTCGGCTGCCCTGAAAATATTAAGTTTTTTTTTAAAAAAGGGTCTACTAGCAACCGAAATACTAGCTGGAGGGGTTAACGGGGAATACCCCGTTAACCCCTCCCGCTAAGCTAAATTGCTTGTGTTAGGGGTGGGTTCACGTTGGTAGTGTACTGGTCAGGATTCGAACCCATGACCTCTTGATCGTAAGTCCAATGCCTTAACCACTAGGCTACCGTCGCATGTATATATAACCAGTGGTATAATTGAACCATTTCTTTCTGTCAGTTGAATCTGAATATTAGTTTAGGAAAAAATATCCGAATAATATAACTCGATCCCCTTTTTATGCGTATAGAATCTTCCCCTACAGCCACTATGGAGGAAAAACATTATATCTCTGCAACTTGTGTTGTGTATCTTTATTGTACTCTGCATATTCCGTTGCCGAAATGTTCGTACCCACTTTTTACCCACAATTGCCCACAAAGAAATATTTTATATGATGATAATCGAATAACAACAGTTTTGAGTTATTTTTTGTGTCATCATATTTCGCATACTATACTTGATCGATACTTGCCTCTGTCTACCCTTCGGGGACATGAAAGACATTATTGTCTATAAGTACAGGTATGTATGTATGTTTGTTAAACATGAACTGTCATTATATAGAATTTGTACAATGACAGGTTAAAATGTGCACAGAAACCCTATATTTTTTTGTAACTTTTTAACTTTAAAGTTCGGTATGCGCTTTAAAGTTATAATAATTTAAGCTTTCTGCACTTCTTATGCATTTAAACATTTATATAAAAGAAGTTGTACTAATATCTGATAAAAACATGTGGTCCTATTCGAAAATACAAATCGCTTTGTGATTGCGATAACCGCTATCGCAATCACCAATCTCATTCACATTTAACCTACCATGAAAGATAGCTAAGAGTTTTCACCCACCTGAGAATGTACTAAAATTACAGTAAATACGCGCCGAGGGGCGTACTATACCGCAGTATATCTTCAGGGCGACTATTTATGTTTAAACGGTATGTAGGTATATAATATATATGCTTATGAATATTACCATAACTAGAACGCTAGGCTAAAAATGTCGTGATAAGTACGTGACTTGTTTTCATGTTTCACATTATTAATAACACTGCCGTGCGCATGTTTATTTGTGTCTGGTAAAAATGCAATAAAAATAAAAACTTAAACAGTTTTTCAGTTCAATTTTTTTTAGGTTTTTTTATGCTTGATATATACATTTTTATTCCCAAACTTTAGAATTGCCTAACAGACACGTTAATTTTATCAGCCTGTAGTAACGCCCAGTGAAACTTTAGTATGGTTATCTAAGATCACTGACTGTAAAAACTCAAACTAAGTCAAGATTTGAAACAACACATACATACTTAAACATTTACGCCTGTTTCCATATTCAAACCGTGTGGTGACGGGTTAAGAACACAGAGTGTCACTACCTCTATTCATCCCGTGAGTGTCGTAAGAGCCGACTAAGGGAGTAAACTACGCAGGACAACAGCACTGCAAAGAGAAGGAAAACTTGAAACAACCCCTATACCAATCCGTCTGGCCAGTGCGGTAAAGTAGGCCGAAACTTCCTTTTTAAGAAGAGGCCTATGTCCAGCAGTGGACTGGTAACGGCTGTTGAGGCCATATTCAAAGTCAACTGTTTTCTAACTATATTTTGGTGCATTAACATCATAGAAAGCTAGTCTGTTGCTATGACGCGAAAACAATAAATCAAAGGTGGTAAAATTAGAAGACAATTAAGAGAAAGAGTTATATTAGAAAGGTAGGCAATATAAGGAAAGAGATATTGCTCATACGGATAAGCTGGAGAATGTGAACAAAAGTTGGATCCAGGATCGCATACCCGCAGCTCGAACTGGCTATTTCTGGGTAGTCTCAGCCGTCCAACCTACTTTAGAACAAATATAAGATACTATAGTTACAGTGAAAGGACAACGCTCCCGTGATATAAACATTCAAGTCATATGTCGTCGATTATTAACATAAATGCTGCATTTGATTCAAACGTTCTACCGAGGGTATCATTAGTGCCACCCCAGTTGTTGACGTCATTGGCTGGCGATCTGCCATGTAGTCGATCGATTTTAGTACCAGTGGCAGCTATTATACAATTACCTATGTTCTTAACTGGCATTGGAGTGAATAAAACATTGCGAGATCGTTGATTTCAATGACAGTCGTATGGGACCAAGGGCAGGGCTGAGCTCATGGATTCGAGTCAGTTGTTTATCTCTGTCTCTCTCTGTACTTTTTTTTTCTTTTGAGTATTCGATGAAAAGAAACTAAATAATTGAACAAATGAAATCATCTTATTAGAACGCCTAAAAAAATGAACTACTTAATTGCTAGGTTTTATAGTTTCAAAAAATATAGCAGGCCCGATTTATATTTTGTTTGTTATCTGGTCAAGATCTGACTATGGGATTCCATAGAAGTCAACAGGAATCGTCAACAATTCCATACTTAATATACGTTAAAAATACCCAGAACACTATTTCTTCAACACTGATCTTCAAAATTCTGTTGAAATTCAAGCCTATGTCTTAAATTTAAGAAAAAAATCCTTTTTCTATTTTACAATTTTAAAAATTTACAGTTAGTGACCTATTTTTAATTTTATAAGAAAACAAATAACGTTCTATTTTTAAGAAGATCTCGGTCCTAATAGATCTTACCTATCATTCTGTTACCTATTTTATAACTTTTTTAATGTATGGTTTCCCCCCACCTCTACTTTTGGTCTGAGAGCACATTGGGAAAGAACTGAATCAGTTTGCACATTCTGCTATAGTAGATGGTTCAAACAACATTAGAGACCACAATGCTTCCTTTGGGCTTAAACTAATAACGAGATGCTGTCAAGTACGGCTACACCAAGTTTGAGTGGATAAAATTAGTAGCAACCCTTTGTTAAATTTAGGTTAACCGTGTGAAACTTGTACAAAGACTAGTTGCGTTAAATGTTGACCTTTACTGGCAACTATATATAACCGTAAATAACCTTCAATGGAATGGGTACATTTTTCTTTCAGACATTGAATTAACATCATCATTTAACCATAACCATGAGGGAGGCCCACTTAAGCCACTGGAGCTTATACAATTAAACGAATGTTATTATTTTCTTTATATTTATATATTACTTAAATAAACATACATATGTATATTTTTTGTACAATCATATTTTTGTAGGTACCCTGACTTATAATAGACGTGAAATGAAAGTTATTCTAAAAAGAAGGCAGAAATGTATGAAGAGCTGTCACAAATGCTTAGTCACAGTTTTCAGTACGTTACATTTTAAAATGGTAACTTGAAATTAGTCATTTCGATCGATATTTGGTATTATTTGAGAGATTTAGATTGTTGCGTGCCATTGCATGTTAAGGTAATTGTAGAATTAGTCTAACCTAATAAAGGTCTAGACACAGATTCATTACATCTAAGTTTAAAATATACCAAGGAATAAGAGAAAAATGAGACAAAAGAGAAAAGCTTTGTTTGGACCCTAACAATGAACAACTAATTACTTCGAAAAATAAACAACCTCAATTCAAACTCAAGAATTGAATTTTCTTAAAGCTTCGTTAATCACAATCCAATAAAAAAAATCCACGTATCATTTACAAAAATGGATTTTCATTTTCAGATGTAATAAATTATGGAAACAATACACTACAATGTGAATACAAATATACTATAACTGCCGTGATTTCAATCTTTTGGATCATTTAAACTAAATTAAATAACTAAAATTAATAAACTAAATTCAATCGAACTCAACTCTATCAGTATTAATAAAAGTTGACAGTCATTTCAAAACTTAAAATAAATTCCTTTCAGGAACTGAATTAAGTTATTTTAAAATAACCACTGAAGACTATAGACAATAAAAATCATGAATACAAACATTATTCAAAATATCGTTGTCCATAAAACACTAATGCATAGTCGATTTAAATCTCTCTCTCTAAACTCTATTTAAACTCTAGACTCTATTTAAATTCAATTTCAGTACAATAAATACCGTTTACTACACTTAGTTCATATTTATTACTACAACTACGTTAAAATAATGTAATAAAACTTACATTTTTGTGGTCGAGGTCACTCACTTCAAGTAATATCAATAATACCGAATTTAAGTAATTTTGTTGCACCGTTAGCTTTACATCTGCAGGCGAGCTTTCAGTAACGCGTCGGTGCCGCAAAGTGCGACTGAAACAGGCCGCAGTATACTCGAGAACAAAATGCTTTCAGAGCAAATAATACGTTTCTTGCAAAGCTTAAACTATCATAATAATAGCGGTCTTTTTAAATTTTCTTTTCAAGTTAAGGCGGCAGATTACAGTTCAAGATGATATATTTAGTTAAACTGTGATGTATATATAATACAACAGTTTAATTGAATTGCAAAAAAAAAACACATGTGATGTGTCAATTACTTTTATTTAAATAAAACAAATTAATAAAACAAAAGAGAGGGAAAAAGATATTTAAAAAAACTTCTTATGTTAATTGATAGACAGCTAAACTTAACTGTGCAGTCTAACGCAGTAAGGTGGTAGTTGTAATCACCGAAAAGTATAGAAGTTTATTAATTTGCTTTGTAAATTTTTGTCATTAAGACATTCATCTGTAGTGCTATAAACATTTTGCTTTATATGGCTTATGAAGCCTAGAAATATAACTTAGTAGATCATAAAGTGCACAAAAAAAAAGACAAACCACAATAATTAACATATATTAAACTATATTAAATCATGTTCATTAGTCATACCGTTACTATAAAACCATCTTTTTAAAATTGTGGTGTATATTATACTACCCAAGCTAAATAAAGTTAACTTAGTTACAAAATTGCACACTAGACTTGATCACATACTGATATACAAAAAAAAAAAGGATTTAAAAATAAACGAATAAAAAAAAAACAATCTTGTATTCACTACTACACTAACGCCCGCTGTCCTCATTTGTACTTTGTTCAGTGTTCACAATACGCATGCGCGGGCCACTGCGTGTGTGCACCTCCCATCGATTGCTATCCACTCGTGAGGTAGGTCTGGAGGTTCTTGCACGTGTCGCATCCTCAATGAAATTGAATTAATATCATTTATTAATTGAACTGCAGGATGTTATTTGAGGATTTAAACTAAAACTACAGGACTCTTTAGGAAACAAGCTTAAGTCGAATAAGCTAAACAGCTAAAAAAAAGCTTGTTTAAGATTATGATTTTAGATCATTGAAACGTTGGCGAGCTATTTTAATACAAACGTTGTAGATGAACTAGTTTTTTATATTCTATAGCGTTCAATACTATATCGGCATAAATAGTCCCTACAGTACAGACATAACTTGAATATATTTTTCTAGTGTTAATCAGGGTGGGCTTATTTGCCAGAAACTTAATGCATAAACTATACAGAGCCTGTAATCTGTTAACTAGTATGCTGATGAAAAGACTTATATATTACTAAATACCTACGTATATATTAATGACAATTCACATCCAGATGCGTTATTCCCCTTAAAAGTTGTGGATGTAAAATCCTGAGTGGGAATCGAGCTAAAACCTCTGAGTCAGTCAACACTAATAGGCCTATCAGGGGAGGGTCTACGATAATCTCTGTCTATTTTTTTAACTTAACTATAATGTGATAACCATGACTTTAAAATACTAACTAACTGAGTATACCAACCTTTATGTCGTAATGGCAAATGGTTCTCTACTAACAAATGTGTAAGAGTTTTTACCATATTGCTTTATTGTACACAAAATATTCACTTATAAAATAAAAGAACAAATGTATAAGTGAAAAAAAAGTTTGCCAAGTACTAGAGCTAATTCATTTTGTTTTTGATTAAATATCACATATATCAACGACATATTTTGACGACCGAATGGCGTAGTGGTTTGTGTAGCAGACTGCTATTCCAAAGTTCGCGGGTTCGATTCCCGCTCAAGTCAAGCATTTGTGTGCATGAACATTTAATGTTTGATTTGGTCTGGGTGTTTCTATGTATAATAAGTATGTATTTACAAAAAAAAAGTCTAAATGTATTTATATCAGTTGTCTAGTACCCATAGTACAAGCTCTGCTTAGTTTGGGACTAGATGGCGTTGTGTGAATGTGGTACAATATTATTTATTATTTATTTTATTTTATCATCATCATCATCATCAACCGCCTTTAATAGTCCACTGCTGGACATACCTCTTCTTAGAAAGGAGGTTTTGGCCTACTATCCACGCTGTACATATACTCGTATAAGTACTTGAAAAGTTTTTTTTTTCTATTTATTGATGTTTTCTTTTATTTTACTCTGCTAGTTTTATAAGCTTTTGAAGCCTTATCAAGATCGTTAGCTGGCTGTAGCCTTCTTTAATACGAGTGAATCGCGTGATGAACTTCAGTTTCGCACATCATTCACTTGTTCTATAAAGTGAAGGTGCGACAGTTCATTGCTCAACGTGGAAATAATGTTTTAATATATTTGAGTTATTGTTATTAAGTTACGTTATTTAGGATTTAATTTAACTAAGGTAATTTTTACTAGATACAGTCATTTCTATTTATGCAACAAATTATTATTTTATGAGAAATTCGAACCAACAACACAAACATTTACAAACTACTACGTTATCCGTACTGTAAAATTTATTAAAATGGAATAGGCTGTTAGTGCTTTCAACCATTTCAAACTGGTTAGGGTTGCTGCCGTAGCTACGGGTGGGATAGGGTTGGCAATATTTGGTTAATACCGCTGGTGTTGTTTAACTCCATTTGAGCCACCAATCGAGTTGCAGATTTGTTAACCAAAAAAGAAATGCTATAATTATTCTTGTCCAACTTTGTCATGACATTACTTGACTGACAAACCTCCAGTTTTGTAAAAATCAAGAGTTTTGTATGTTGTTAAACCCGTCCAACTGCATGACGTAGAATTAGAACTTACAACATTTTGACCGTGAAGAGACATTGTAACCACGGTATAACATTTGAAAATTAAGATTTCAAAATTAAATTTGGAAATATTAAATTAACCTCATTTTAAAATATAAAAACAAACTAAAAGCCTCAATTGTAAATGTGGTTCTCAGATGGCTGCTTGTATATGCAAGGTTTTATCTTCCTGGCCACCTCCAAAGCTCTTCAGATCTAATAAGAAGTTATTGAAATAATTTTCGATCCTTGTTTGAATCCACCTAAGTGCCACAGAACGTATAAGTACAGCGCATGTGTACCGATAACAAAACAATAATGAGCTTAAATACAATGAAAGAAAAGTGTGGATAGGCTTTTTCAACAACGCTCTGTTTAAGTTTTTATTCCAAGTTTTATATGTATTAGCAAATCTAAGTCAATCAAGTATCATCATCAACTGACGTTTTCTTGATTAATAGGAAAATATAACTACTTTATTACGGATAACTCTACCTTATTCTCTATTGTCTCTAGTGTTGAGACGTATCCAACACGATGGCAACCAAAAATGACTAACGCAAATATGCAAGATGTACAAATATAAATATTGTTTTGTAAATTCTTATGAGTACATTATTGTATTTATAGAACATAAACACTTTAGGTACATCGTCATTCTTGACAAACGTTTTTCACATCTAAATTACAAATTTTCTTTGCTTTATACTTCAAGCTGAATTAAGGTTTCAAATTTGTCGTATAAATCAGCTTATAACCAATTAAAACATTAATAACCTTGAGGTCGATCGGTTGTTTTTCATAGAATAGTCATGCGATGTAGACACAGCAAAATCCTATTAAGCTGCATGCATGCATATTTTATTTTATTTTCTATTGTTTATATAAATGCTGCTCATCCATACAAATCCATTCAATGATAAATACATTAAATATAAATTTTATAAGGCCATTAAAATTAGGGCGGTCGGGCCGCGAGCAAATTGTTGTGAGCATCGGCGCGGCGCACAAAGAAGGCCGGCTAATCAATTGCTTCAGCCCGCACCGATTCTTGCGCACCACACGCAAGCACCAAAGTAACATAAGTAAAGAATTCGAATTTCCTTAGTTGAATATTTCTGAAGACAGAAGGAATTTACTTTGATTTAAAGACTTTTATTTTCGTTTTGTTTCTATCAAAACTTTTACATTTCCGGTACAGGACATTTCTGTAAACTTACGACATTATTTCTACAGTTTATATAATCATTTCATATAGGAATACAAAATTAAAACTAGCTTAGATTAAACCTGAATTTTTAATTCGTTATTATTTAAAATATTAAAGTTACTTTTAAAATATTTGTAGCTTCCTTAAATATTTTCTAAAGGGATCGAAAAAAAATTCTCTATATAAATTATTTTTTGAAAGGCGCCTAATTTATTTTCACAAAACCTGACTTATATCGCCTTCTTAATATAAATCGTCATACTACGAGCCCCAATGCCGACTCTTCATTTATTTTATTAGCAGGACTCCGCGAGGCATCGTAACTCACTCGTCTAATGCATTTATTTATTCGAACCATACTTTTAATTACGTGGACTTTACAATTAACGAGAGTCAATCCGTGAGACTCCACAGCGCGATACGTTGCAATTGTGAGGTTTTGTTAGTACCTAACTATTGATTTATTTTAACCTCTGTCATTACTATACATAATTCAAAAGGAGTAGTGTATGTCGACATTAGTTCAACTGCTTTAATCTATGTATGTTAATTACTATTTATTTAATTTTTAGGTAGATTGTGTATGTGTGCGCTAATAATGTCTGTGTGCGCGATGTGTAGAGTGAATAAAGCAGCGTTTCTATAGCTGTAACGTGTGTCACTTGTCTTCTGTGTTAAGTACCTAATAAGGTATCAGTGGAATATAAACAAAAACAAATTGGTAACTTTTATTAACACTTTTATGCGGAGCCACAAGATCGCGACGAGTTTCATACATTGAAGGAGAAGGAGAGAGAGAGAGATTAACACTATAAAATGGTAAGAGGGGTTGGACTTCACGATAATAGCAAATTCGGGTGAAAAGAACGCCTTTCTCAAGTCATCCACAGAAGTTATATTTGTTTCCTGCCCCCTTTCTTTAAATACTCAATATTCAGTCATTTATTGCATTCCACAATGTACATAAATGTTCTTAAAAATATAAAAATACATAACCAATACATAACCTTTTGCTGTGCCCAACAGGGTCAGTCCCTATTGGACACAGCAAAAGGTTAGGAGAGAGGAAAATGGCTAAGCAGTAATACCTTTAATTCTATTGGTTTACATAACTATTTATTTCTATATTATGTGTAAACAGGTACATAAGCTGTTATATTTAATACTAGCTTTTGCCCGTGGCTCCGCCCGCGTGTATGACGGTTATCGCTTTAAATAGTAGCCTATCCTTCCTCAAGAATCAACCTATCTCCTCACCATCAATTTCATCTGAATCAGTTTAGTTTAATGAATTCCCATACAAACTTCCAACTCCCTTTACATCCCCCTTAAAAGATGATTTCTGGAATAAAAATTATTCTATGTCTATGTTTCCGGGACTCAAACTATCACTATAATAAATTTCATCTAAACCGGTTCAGCGGTTTAAGCGTGAAGAGGTAACAGGCAGATATACTTTCGCATATATAATATTAGTATATAGATGTAATAAAACCAAGACCTTTAAGACCTTCCTTCCAATATACTTCTAATTTTACCTTATAATCTCTAAAGTATACGACTGACGGCAAAAAGTGTGAAACAACAACAAGTGAGAATAAATATAGAAGTGCAAAATAACAAATGTAGAAGTAATATATGGTAGCAAAATGTGACCGTTTTCCCCTAAATGTAAATAGTCGCGACTGTATGTATCTATGCAAGTAAACTGAAAGTAGCAAATAAAATTGAGAGTTCGGATCCCACATCCACACATTTAAGTTGTGCACAACACGTAACACAAAGCAGAAGTTTAAATATAGATTTATACATTTAATAAAAATTATTAATGAAATTTATTAGTAGATATCATTATAAACATCAACAACAGTCTTTAACAGTCCACTGCTGGACATAGGCCTCTCCTTAGAAAGGAGGTTTTGGCCTACTATACCACGTTGGCCAAACGGGTTGGTATAGGGTTTTTGTCAAGTTTTCCTTCTCTCTGCAGTGCTGTTGTCTTGCGTAGTTCGCTCCCTTAGTCGCCTCTTACGACACCCACGGGTCTGTACCCTGCATAGTACCTAAATGGTAATAGGTACCACTAAAAACTTATACTTAATACTAATAACGAGCCACATGTACCTAAGTTGCAAAAGTCGAACAAAGAAAATCCTCCAATTCGCTAGTTTTCAAAAAATTTTGGTCGTTTTTAAATCTGCATTAAAGTCATCTTGACTTTCATTCAAGCATAAAATGTCATTGTCATCTCTGTCCCTGTCTTCGATGGTTTAAAAACATTGTTCTATCGTTGTAACTACCAGGCCAATGTTTCGAGATGCCTCTCCTTCTTAAAGTAAATGTGAAATGTTACAGATCTTTTTCGAAAGCCTTTGGACTATGTCCCTTAGCTAGCTAGCTAGCTAATAATGCATAGTATTTATAGGAATAAACTTTGCATTGTTACGGTATATGTCCTAAAATATATAATTTGTTCCTTCGAGGTCACTACACATTCTATCCACAATTAGTCCACTTAACCCGCAACTAGGCGCTGTAAACAAATCCATGCATTGTCCACCAAGTTAACATGGACCGGCTAAGTGTTAACCGATCCTTGTTAA